AGGATGCAAGAAAAACAGTTACAAGTTTAACATACATAGCATTAATCCAAAAAGAAAAATAAAATCTTACATGGAACACCTAACCAAGTAATTAAAAAGAGCTAGGAAATCAACAAATCAGTCAGCCCTTGCAAAAAGTAATTGCAACTGTAAAAAAAATCAGAAAAATTGAAACATACAGAAATATTAGCCCAAGAATGGGAAGCAAGATGTGATTCTTTATTTAAAATACGACTTATATAGTCTGGCTTGACCAACCAACAAAAGAGAAAGAATATTATGAAGATATTAACTTGTTTTAAAAAGGTAATTATCATCATTTAAAAAGGTAATTATATCATAGAAAAACACATTTTTCTCAATGCTATATACCCATGCATGTAGCTGTAACTGCTATTAATTACTGTGCAAATTAAATTAAACCACTTGAGAATCCAGACTTTCAGAAAGTCCAGCCCTTTGGTTATAAGGAAGACTTATGCTGTCCAGACTTGGCAGTCACGTAAGGCCAGGGCCCTGGGGTCCAGGAAACCATGGTGCCTTTATTGCCATCCTCTCCCACTTGCCACAGACGGTGCTGTTGATTACCTTCCCTTCCTGTCCCATAGCTGCCAGCCCAGGTTCCATTCTCTGAGGGAGGGTGGCTCAGTGGTGACTCCACTTTCACAGTGTTACTTTCCATCTGTGGTCCCTCCTGGGTTCCTGAGGTCTCAGCCCCTTATGCTGAAGCTGAAAAAAAAAATCCAGAGCATTGCTAGACCATTTGTCTTCAGTGAAGGTTTCTTGGAGGGAGGAGGGAAACAGGTAAGGTTCATTTAGGCCTTCATTTTTGTCTCACTGTTTTGACTTCAGCTACTTTTTGGTTAGTGGATTTTGACAAATAATCGGACAAGTAAACAGTCAAAAATAAACTAATAGTCAATAAATTTACATTTTGGGTACTGTGTTTTTCAGCTATAAAATTTCCATTTGAGGACCAGGGATTTAACTCAGTGGTGTCACTGCTTACCTCAAAAGCTCAAGGTCCTGAGTTAGATTGATCCCTGGTACAAAAAAACCACAATTCTACTTGATTCTTTTTTAGAGTTACCGTATCTCTGTAGAGATTTATTCAGACATTTAATCATTACAATTTCTTTTCCTTTCAAAGCCTCAATCACATTGATTATGCTGTTTTAAAACTCTTGCTTTTTATTTCTAACATCATCTTTGGATCTGTTTCTATTGATCATCTTTTTTCTTGGTTATGGGCCACATCCACCTGGTTCCTCACATGTCTAGTAATTTTATGTTGTATGCTGGACACTGTAAACACTATGTGCCCCATACAGTGAAGTAGTGGAGGTAATTAGCTTATATAGAAAAGGGTTTATTTTGGCTCACAGTTATGGAGGTTCTAGTCCAAGGTTGAATGACTACATTGGGCTTCTGGTAAGGGAACACATTATGGCAGAAAAGTGTGGCAGAGCACACTGCTTACCTCACAGGCCAGGAAACAGAGCAAGGAAGAGGAAAAGACTGAGGTCCTTTCATCCCCTTCAAGGACATGCCTCCAATAACCTAAGAGCTTCCACTTTAGCTCCACCTCCCAAAGGTTCAACCACCTCTCAATAGCACTACCTTGGCGACTAAACCTTTAATACATGGCTTTTAGGGGACACTCATACAAACTGTAGCACTCTGTTTGGGAGCCTGGATTTTTATTGTTTCCTTTTAAAGAGAAATGAACTTTACTAATTTACTGGTGGACACTCACAGGCTTGATGAGATTAAGACTTGGCTTAAACTTCCTTAGGGTGAGCCTGGAATTTTCCTTAGTCTATTATTAGAGAAAACCTATTCTTAACATATTTTCATTCTAGATGGTCAGAACACCAAAGTCTCACAATACTTGTCTTCTCTGGTGTCGCTATTCAGTTCACAATACCTCCTCCCTTAACCCCAGTGGTTATTCTCTGTGTAGCTTTTAGTATTTGGCCAAAGGTAACCTGATACAGATTTCCAGGGCTCCTTTTCTTCCTTCTTTCTGTTATTCTGATTCTCAAACTCCAGCCACTTTAACTGCTCTCACCTCTGATCTCTACTTCCTCTACCCAGTTGTAGTGCTGTTCTCTGGGCTTTACTTCTGTGACTTGCATTTGGAAAATTATCCTACTCAGGAAGCTGGGGTGGATTTAGGATTTACATTGAATGTTTTTCTTCTTTCTTTCATGAATCAAAGCACTACTTATCTGTTAACCATTGCCTGAAAAATATTTGTTTTATGTGGGTCATTCAGTTTTGTAATTTATTAGAATAGGAGGGTATATTTGATACCTTTTACTACACTATGACTGGCTTGCTTCTTTTGTCACATGTTTACAGATGTTTTCATAAAGATTGCTAATTTTACCCCTTGGATAAGAATTTTACTTGTTTACCTTTTAGAGAAGTTAAGTAATGTGAATGAGTAGAGAAGCTTGGATGAGGTTTAATTCTATTGGAAAATATGTGTACAGTATAAATAGTACCTGATTTTCATCTTTATGCAAATGCTATTGTGCAAGAATATGCACTTGGTACTGCTTTTTCAGCCACCATACTATCAGCAGAATGCCCAAATAGCAAGGTCTCCTTTGAGATTCCCAGCTGGAGTCTGTTCCTTCATTGACCCAGATATACCAGTTATCACCATTGGCTTATGCTAATTAGAGCAAGTACTATCAGGGTGCTACTGCCTGTTGGTCTGATGGTATGCGAGAAACAGACCATCCAGAGTTCACCCAGAGGAAAGTGGCTCAGATCCTGTAGGTCCTCCACTTTATTGTGGATCAGTAAATAGAACTGTAGATATTTAGACTAATTTCTTTCATCTTAGCCTTTGTTTTATAAGTTCATTGTGATTGTTACCATGTTTATTCTGTTAGAAAAATATTTCTAGTGATGCTTATTTTCTTTCTTATATAACTTATATAAGTTATGTGGGTTCTCAATGGTCCCTTAGATTGGCCATCAGTCTTATTCTGTTTTATGTTCTTATCTTTGAACTCTCATCTTTGTGCACTAAATTCTTTTAAATTTACTCTGGAGTGTAGAACAATTATGAAGGATTTCCTTCAGTTTTTTGTGACTGTATCATCAGGGCTGATTCACACATGTGTAGACATAGTCCCTAGGCCCCATAATAGAATTAGGAGCCTGGAGAAAGTACAGTGGATCCTTTACTTATGAACTCAGTTCATTCACAAGGGCTGGTTATAACTCAAGCCAGTCAGTTGAAGGCCCAGGCTCCTCTACTCAGCCTTCAAAGTCTCTTTTCTGTATACAGGCAGATCTCAGTGTCCTTAGAAAGACATCGGCCCTGGATTTCTCAATGAACGCCACACAGGAAAGGATGTTGTAATGTTCCTTCCTGAACTCTTTAAGGGCTAAATTTGTATCTAAGACCATCTGGAAGCACAAGTGGCCCGCATTTGGGTCATAACTCACCACTTTGTTCATCAGTTAAAACTAAAATTCCAGTTATAACCCAAGTTGTTCGTATATCAGGCTGGTTGTAATTCAAGGGTTCACTGTATTTCAAATTTCTACCACTTTTAAAGTCAGAAAAATAAATAATATTGAATATATACTATTAAATTCACACTAGATTATATTAATTATTATGTCAATGTGGTCATAAAATATACATTTTTAGTACTGTTTTTATAGAGAAAGGGTCCTGCAAAGGCAAAAATTTCTAGAGACCGCACAAGTCATAATGCGACCTTGCTTAACAAAATTAACATTAATTCCTTGGTAGCATTTATTAACTTGATCATAATCAAACTCTATCAGCTGTATAAAAAATATTGTTATAGCTGGTTTGTGAGCTTAAAGACGTAAATTTGGCCATCACAACTACTGAGCCTCTAAGCCTCTTAGCCCCTACACTACTGACTCTGTACAGACATCAGGTCAATTGTCCTAACCAGGTTGGTTGTTTTACTACTGAGATTTATCTGTTTGTTTCTCTGTAATGTCATTAGCTTCTTTCTCCATTTTATATGTTTTTTTGTAAAGGAAGTCAGCTTATTATCTGTACAGACTTGATAAATTCAAGCTTAGCTTCTATGGGAAGGGTGCTTTATGGAAATCGTGCTGTGTTTCATTACTAAAGAGATTCCCAATGTCTGTTTTGCAATTTGATTGATTCTAAAATTAGCAACTACAGTCTGGTGGTGATAGATAATGATTACATACTTAATATTGTTGTCTGAAAAATACTTTGTTAGACTTTAAAAGTAGTGAGTTTTTTCTTATTTGCCCATTCTTGTTTTGTTCTCCTCAACATCTAGAACTATTTTGTTCTCACAGTCTACACAGAAAAGTTGGAATCAATGCTTTTTTTCCTCTTTAAACCATCAATTTTCATAGCAACCCATTAGTGTACTGATTGCTCTCATTGATATCCAATGAGTTGCTTCCTTGTTCTTCTCTCTGTTGTAAAGCTCAGAAGCAGTAATAATCCATTAGTAACAGCAAACGTGTTCAGAACCAGCACATGGTCTGCTTCATTCTGGTCTCCAAAAAAAGAAATCAAAGTATTTTTAAGGCTAAGAAATCAATGAAATAATTGCTGATTCCAGGTCTGAGCAGGAAACATGGTGATCCTGGAATACTTTTTCATACCAAGAAGCTAGAAAGCTGTCAAAGAATGATGGCCTGAGCCAAGAGGACACAGAGGCACTTATTGGCCAACAATAGGACAACATGAACACCAAAAAGAATAATAAAAACAACTGATTAAAACAAATTGACTATGTGAAATCTATGAGCTTACTGTAGAGAGGGTGGTAGGAAGGGAGAGACAGAGAGAGAGAGAGAGAGAGAGAGAGAGAGAGAGAGAGAGAAGGAGGGAGAGAGGGAGAGAGAGATGGGGCAGAAGAACAGAAACTAAGAATAAAAAAATAAATGTGCACATTTTCAGACACTGGCAAATTTCCCCCACACAAGGCTTTCACCTTGTATATTACTTCTAGGAATCTACATGATGTCTTGTCTCCCAGTGGACTCACGAACACTATATTGCCGAACAGTAAAAGGTAAGGAGTGGCATCTAGGTATAGTTTTAATCTGCACTGGTCTTAATTTGAGCTACACTGAGCAATTTTCTTATGTTTAAAATCATTTCAATGAACTCCTTGTGCATTAAAACAATTTACTTTCAATGTGGGTTCATTTATTTGCTCCTAAATTTGTGAGCTATTTGTATCCTAGAGATAGTAGCCTTTTCTGTAATATAAGCTGCAAATATATTTTCCCACCATCTCATCTGTCTTTTGACAGTGATTGTAGTCATTTTTGCCAACATGCAAAGAGCTTTTTGGTTTTGTTCCTTTTTTTCTCTAGTGCAGTTAGATTTATCAGTCTTTTAAAATTGCTTCTGGATTTTGCATCATTAGATGGGTGATATCTTGACTGTTTCCCAGCACACCTGAGAACTGTTTGTTCTCCTTCTGCGGTATGTTGGACTGAGCATTGTTTGTATTCCCCTGAGAAACAGAAGAGCTGACAGCCAGAGCTGGCCTGGCTCTGTCCACTGGGCCGTGATGTGGACAGGAGCTTACTGCCACCCATAGTTGGACCACAATGTCCTCCTGTTGGACACAAACAGTTTCACAGAACATCGACATTGGACAAGGGCACTTTGTGGCCATTTCTGTCAGGACAGAAGACCACTCCCCGGTCATGCCTGAGCACAAAAAAGGAAGAACGTTGCTCAGATCCCTAGGGGGACCATGTGTCTCCCCATCTGGCTAATGAGTGACCTCTGCTTCTTCTTTTTTTGGTTCCAGGGATTGAACTCAGGATCTTGGACTTGTGAGCCAGGTGCCGGAACCACTGAGCTAAATCCCCGGCCCTGACCTCTGCTTCTTGACCAATGACAGCTTTCCTCTTCATCACCAATCACAGCTTCAATCCATTACAACTTTAGTATAGTGTTATGTCCTTCTAGATAAGATTTATTTAAGATACTCAATCCTAGACTTATCATAACATCCAATCCAGAATAAATCTCATTTCCTTAAACCTTTTGAAATCATCACCTAACTCAACCTTGAATCTTTTAAATCCTTTCTGTCATTCTCTTGGTTAGCTGTAGTGTCTGGTCTCCCTTGCTCACTAGTAATACACCCACCTTGCTCAACTGTAGATGCCTCCCTGGTGGGCTTTGACTGGAGCACATTGACATCATCCTTTTTTGCTGGTTGCTTAGTGGGATGGGTAGTCTACAGACAGCAAGGCCAGCTCAGGGGAAGTCTTGCGTGCACCTCACTCCTGTAGGTGTGAGTACCACAAGGCCTCCCTGGCTTTGGCTCACCTTCTTGATTCCATGTGTAGCCATGACTGTGGCAGAGAAAGCCCATCCCAACGTCCACACTGCCTTGTTCCTCCTGTTCCTCACCAGCACCCATTTCCACAGATGTCAGCCAGGAGAAGAGCGTGTGAAGAGACCTCCTTGCTAGTTTGCTGTGATATGCATTTCACTATATCAGGGAGAACACTCAGGATTTGGAGGTAGTGTTGATGGTGGGTCTGGAAGTGAATTATTTACTGAGCACTGTTGCCCCTCTCTCTTTTTTTACCCTGAATTTTATTTTTTCACCTTGGGCCACCAGTTTTTTGTTTTCTTTTGTTTTTGTTTTTGGCTCTCGTGTATGGGGTTACAGCCCTTTCCTTGTTTGATTGCTGTCAGTCATTTTGTATTGGTTTTAAATTTTCATTTGCTACTAATTTTGTTAGTACTGGGGGAGAGAAGTTCTGCAATGTTGCTTCTTTTATTACTGAAGGTGTCTCCTCTCTCCCTAGCTAACCCAATAAATAAGCTTGTCTCTCTATTGGGACACCTTTTTTTTTTCTTTACCTTTTCTGAAGTCCTGCAAGTTCTCCTTTCTTACAGTTTGTGCTTTTGAAAACAAAAGTGAGTTTTGTCTTAGTGCATGCCTTCTCCAGGTATCAAAACAGTCAGATTCTTGATTTAATAAAGGAAGGGAAAAGGAGAAACATAATGAGAAACTCATAATGCAAATATCTTCCTGACATCTGGTTATGTAATTATTATCTTCTCTCAGTAGGACTGTATATCCCACATCATAGTCTGTTCCTCAAGCTGCCTGCTCATGGTCCCATGCTTATGGGGCCTCTCTTTAGTGACTGGATGGTTCTACTTATAAGGAATTTTATCAGTGTGTGGAATAAAAATTTGGTCACCAGGATCTTTGTCTGTTTAGTATTGTTATAACACAAATACTATAGACTGAATAATTTATGAATTGAAATTTATGTCTCACAGTTCTGGGGGCTGGAAGTCTCAGATCAGGGAGATGGTAGGTTTGGGGTCTGATGTAGATCAGACTCTTTTTCCAAGATGGCGCCATGAACACTGAGCCCTCTGGAAGAGAAGAACATTGCTTTTCACGTGGCAGAACTGAGGGAGTGAACCCACTCCCACAAATCCTAAAAAGCCTGAAGAAAGGTAGTAGCATTAATTCATTTATAAAGACAGAGTCCACATGGCCTAGACCTGTCCCCCAAAGCCCCACCTCCTAAGACTGCTGATTAGGGATTAAGTTGCCAACACATGGATTTTGGGGAAGACATTCAAGCCATAGTGCCTAGTAAATTTCATCCTTTAAACTAGTTCCATTATTTGGGACAATGTCAAATAAGTCATGTATCCTCTCAAGTGACCTTCCAGCAAGCTGAAGCCCAATGTCATTTTTCTCTTTTAGCTTAGTCTTCTTTTGATTAAACATATGCAGCTAATAATATTGACATTTACTTGACAAGGAAAACAAATATTTACCCTCCTGAGAACACAGTGTATATAAAAACTTGTGGTTTGGAATGCATCACTCAGAGTTAAAGGGATTAGCTAATGTTTCTTATTAAATGTTTATGAATTTAGCCTACAACCACACCATACCATGGTTATGTATCAAGTTCATTGTAAGATAAAATATTTTATGGGTTTTTCCTTATTTATATTAATATGCATTTTAATTTTTGAAATTAAATATAGGATGTTTCCATTCGTCTCTCCCAGGTCACTTGTGGTACGTTCTCTGCAGTCACTGTGCCACTTAGCACCTGCAGTCATACTAGGAATAATTTATGAGAGATACCCTGTGTCGTTTTTCCTTACCCTCTTGCTCCTAGTTTGTGAAAAACACCTGAGAAGCTGAACAGACCACCTGTGCTATGCATAGAAGCAGAACCTGCAGTGCCCATCAAGATGGCAAACGTGTCTCTCCCACAGTTGTGAGGGTCACGCCGAGATGCACCTCACTGCCTGTTACAGGCTGTGTCCATTCCCCTGTGCACAGAGCTCTCTGGTGCGAGAACTGCCCCGTGTGCTCACAACTCAAAGTCTGTCTCTTTCCTCCTGACTGTTATGATTCTTGGGTGACGCCCATGCCCACTCTGCTCCTAGGTGTAGAAGAAAGTGTGCTGGACACTTTTGCACTGGTTAGAGCATCTCCGGAGGATACTGTCCTGTTCATCTATGCAGCTATAACACAATACCATTAACTGTGCACTTTGTAAAGAGCAGAATTGATTTCTTACAGTTCTGGAGGCTGAGAAGTCCAAGGGTAAGGCACAGGCAGGCTTGGTGTCTGGAGGGTCTGTTCTCTTTTTCTAAGATGATGATTTGTACATCTTCCAGCAGGGAAGAATGCTGTGTCCTCATGCAGCAGAAGGTGGAAGGGCAAAAGGGGCTCAGCTGTATCTGCCAGGGCCATATATGAGGGCTCCTAATCCCATTTTGAAGGCAGAGTCCTCCTGGCCTAATCATTTCCTAAAGGCCACACCTCTTAGTACCACCACGTCACCAACACCTTGGTGAACTTGGGAAGGGACACATTCACCCCACAGTAGATATTCGTAATACTCATCAAATTGAGCATCTAATGTCAGAGAAAGAGGCTGGGGGTCTGGGAAGACCTGTGGATTTTACATCACATGTTCCATTCCCTATGCAAATCAATGAATTAAGTAAAACCGAAGAAAAGAAAGGTAGCTGGAGAATTGCATCATGGGCCAATGATGCCAATGATGATGTAATGGGTGGTGAAGAGGATGTCCAAATACATGAGGATGGTTGTAGCTTTCATGGCACCTTGAAGATGGAAGAATCACCGAGTCTTGGCTTCTTGGCTAAGGCTGAAAGAAAAGTGAAGACTCACATTTATATGAGGCTGAACAGTGTTTCTTCTCTACTCAGCACTCATCAGATTGTGTGGGTTTCATTTACTTTCTTACCCAACACAACTCTGCCATGGTGTACTGTGTCCCACGCCCTGGGCTAGGTCTTTAGGGTAGACAGAGTGAGGAAGGAAACATTTTGAATGAAACAGTCTTTGTCCTCACGGGCACAGGGTGGGGTGGCCCTGACAAGACTTCTCAATGGGAGGATGTGAAGTGCATTTTCTCCCTGCTTTCTTCCCTGGAACCCGCCTGTTCCCTCTGGCTCTTCTCAGCCCTCAGTTTAGTAGCTGATTCTTCAGAGTTCCCTCTCCAATCCTGTTGAGTGACTTCTCAGGCCCTGGTGGCTCTTGTCAGAGCACATAACACTGGATACACAAATGCCTTGCCTATGTGTTTGTTCTGTTAATAGACTATGAGCTCTGCTCATTGCTAAAGCTCAGGACACAGTGGAAGATGTGGCCCCCAAATATCAGCTGAATGAATGACTCCATGGTGGCTGTTCAGCCTGGAGAAGAGTGCTCTTTTTTTTTTTGAGACAGGATTTTACTATGTAGCCCAAGTTGACTTTGAACTTGTGACCTTCCTGCTTCACCCTCCCGAGTGCTGGAAATATAGGCAATACACCTGCTAAGAAGAGAACTCAGCAGGACAGAGATGACAAAACTTGTAGAAGTCTCTCAGGGACTCTGTGTCAGAGGCAGGACTGGGCGGATGGGTGGACTCAGGAGAGCAGACTTTGGCTTTGCACCAGACATACTGTCAAAACCAGAAGCAGCCAACACATAAGAGGTGGTGTGAGGGAGAAGGTCTTTCTCACTGAAGTTTTGAGAAACAAATGGAACCCTGTGTGCTTTCATTGCTGACGCCATAAATTCAGAGATGATTGGTCAGTAAAGTTAACTAGAAAATTCATAGCATGATTCTCTCTTCTTATTGATTTCTTAAATTCAAAAGTAGGATTGGGAAGGATATGTGTGTGTGTGTGTAAAATTAGGATAAAGGGTGATTGGATTTGACCTGTACACACTGCATGCACATATAGAAATAACACACCAAAACCCATGACTATGTATAATTCATGCATGTCAATAAAAAATTTAAAAACACAAAAGTAACATCAGTTCTTGAGGAAAATTTAAAAGAGAAAAGTAACAGTCGATAATCCTATGAATAAAAATAAACTAATTTTTGTTTCATTTCTTGCCTTTTTAATGTATATAGTCAAGCTTAAAATATAAAAATTTAAAAATTTTTAAAATTAAATTCTTTTATTGGTACATTGTAGGTATACAACACA